ACACATCCTTACATTCTATGATTATTTTTCAAATGTCAACAATCCTAATGTGATTGAAGAATGTCAAATACTTATTCGATTTGTAAATAGAAGAGCTGAATTACCTTCTGATAAAAAGATCATGGGGATTTCTTCTAAAAAGAATAATTACTATGATATCCTCTGTGAAATTGGTAAAAAATTACAACTTATTTTTGAAAAACTTCCTAAAAAAATTCGTCAGGTCAAAAATATAGATGATCGTGTAATGTCAGATGTTGTACTTAATGGCAAATTATTTGTGGCAGCTTGTGATGAGAAATTACGTGTTCCAAATATCATTATGTCATTATATGCTAATAACAGATCACACCCTGAACCATGGCAACTTTTAATATGCACACCTTTAACAACCTCAGAAGAATTAACAATTTTTATTAAGCGTTGTTTTTTTGCAGCAAATAATGGGCATAAAGATCATTTGTTTTGCATAGCAAATTTAGAATTATTAGATTTTGAATTACAATATAACTTGGTTAAATTTATCAGATTGATGTGTAAACGTGAAAAAAATTATTTGTTGGCATTGATTTGTTGTCGTGAGCCTGGAATACATCATCACATTTTAGATCAATTTTCACAAGACGTATGTGTAACTAATGGGCTGAATACTGAATCAATGAAAGCAATATTCCATGATTTGTGTCCAAATGTGACTTCTTTATCTTCAGATCTTTCTGGGCAAGGAAAAACAGAATGGATTAAACAAGACAGTTTTGAAAAAGGAAAAGTTACTTGTAGTCTTTTAATCAGTGATGGTTTAAATTTTAGTAAGCTTGTTAGTCAGCTTAAAGAATGTAAATTACGAAAAGTCGAAAGTTTACACTTGAACATTGTTTCAGCTGAAAATCCTAGCGAAGTAAACATGTTTCTTTTTGAATTATTAATTTTAGGAATAGTTTCTAATAGTGTAGATATAGCTATTTTACCTGCAACTGAAATTTATATTGAGGTAGCTTCAACAACTGAACAAAAATTACTAAACTCTATGCCAATTATTAGTTATTTGAGAAGGAAACATTTGTCATGGGATATCAATAACCTTGTAATATCTCAAGAGATCAACAGTCCAATTCAAATAGTATGTCATTATTTAAATGCATTTGATTGTAAGGCTATTGAAGAAATAGATATTCTATTCAAGACTGACAAAAAAATTACAGTTCCTTTGCCTGCAAACATGTGTCATGGACTTATTACAAAATATTTCTTTAATCAAAATGCTGATGATGTTTCATCATTTAGATTTATAGAAATTTTTGTGAATGTGTTTGCTGATCAATTAGTAAGGTTTCTTTCAATTCAATATCTTCAAGTTGGGGACCTTAAATTAATGATAAAAGAAAAAAACATTATATCAACCTTATTTAATGCATTACTTGAAATATCAAAAGATTTTGCAACCAAGTCAATCAAAACTAAAGCTGCTCAATTAGAAGCAACAAATAAATCTGAAGCTGCAAAATTGGGTACAATAGTTAAATGGGATGATTCAAATCATCTACTTATATTTTTCATGTCACAATCACCTGATTCAATTTGTGCTCTATATCGTAATAAAACAAAGGTTCCAAATAATGTAAAGATGTTGTTGAAGAGTCAATCAGTTGGACAAAAAAAAGATGAGCTTGATGATTATAATCAATTGGAATCAAAAGTTCTTTTAGACAGATTAGAAGGTCTTGCAAGAAGAACCTTACATCCTATTAAATATCCCAATTATGCACTCTCTGCTGACAATTTAATCAAAATGGCACTTATACTATTAAGAGCTCGTGCAAATATTCCAGTAATTGTTTGTGGTGAAGTTGGTTGTGGAAAGGTAAATCCTTGCTTTTTCTTTGTAATTGTTTTAAAATAATTAATATTGTAAAAATTTTGTCACTATTGTGTAAAAATATTAAAGTTTTTTTTTGTAATTTTAAATAGACAAGCTTGATAACATTTTTGGCAAAAGTTGTTGAAGTTAATTTTAAGGCAATAAATCTACATGCTGGTGTTCAAGAAAAACAAATTATTGAATTTGTCAAAGATGCTCAAAGGGGAGCAGACAAATGGGAAACATGGTTATTCTTTGATGAAATCAACACCTGCAATCATATTGGACTATTATCTGATCTTATTGCTCATAGAATGCTTGAAGGGAAACAAATTCATTCAAATATTCGACTTTTTTCAGCATGTAATCCATATCGTTTCCATACTAAAAGTGTTAGTGATGCTGGATTACAAACAAAAGTGGGAATATATGATGAAAAAAATAAACTTGTTTATCAAGTGAAACCATTACCCAATCAAATTTTGGATTATGTATGGGATTATGGTGTACTTCAACCAGAAGATGAAAAGAAATATATTCATATAATGTTACAAGACCAACTCCCCAAAGAATTGTTAAATCATCA